CAGGGCAGCAAGGCTGCCATGGATCCCTTCCTGCTGTGCCGGGCACGGTGTGTCCAGATGTGCAGAGAAAGCCCCCGGCTGCTGAGTCTCAGGAGAAGGCTGAGGGACATGGACCCACCACAGCGTCCCTCCAGATCATTCAGGATTATGTCCAGGTATTTGAGTTCCTCCATTGCTACATTACTATCTCCTATAGGTTTGTTCTTCTTTCTCAGGGGACCATAATATAAAGTATTTCCATTTCCAAGGAATGGATCCCACGGAACCAGTGCTCAGCCTGTGGGGTCAGCAGGGATGCACCACACACCCCTGTGATGGGAGCTGGGCTTGCTTGCAGAATCCAGCTCAGGAGCTGGGAAAGTCCCCCCTGCAGACACACCTGTAGTTCAACAGCCACAGAAGCTTCTCTCATCTCTGCTGCACAGGCAGCACTGAGCCACAGGAGCAGTGAGGGGATCACGCAGGACGAGGGCACACACGTGCACAGCTCTGTCCTGGCACCTGCAGTGATGCTGCCCTGGCCAAGCCTTGGGCTCTGAGCTGGCAGCTCTCCCAGGGGGAAAGGCCTTCACCTACTCTCAGAATCTTCCTCATTATCAGGCTCAGTAACTGATATGGATGGGGAATCCAGGTCATCTTCATCATCAGGTTCATCTGCAAAGAAATTCAGGACAGAACAGCTCCCGTGAAACTGCTGAAGATTCTTCTTCAGGCTGGAGTGGCAGTGAGTGCACCTGGGTGACTGCTGCCCTCCAAGGCACTCCCTCATCTCTGCCTTACACTCAGGAGCAGGAGCAGGGGGACCACGTGCCTGCAGTGGCCCCACAAAGGGATGGAAGGAGCCCCTTGCATGAAAGTCAGGGGAGAAAGGACTCCCTGGAGCTGCCAGCAGCTCTGAACTGAGCCCCAGGCAGGGCCAGGGCTTGGCAGTGGCAGCTGGAGCAGCTCAGGCTCCCTGGGGCTGGCAAAGGAGCCACACAAGGCACAGCCCCGGGGCACAGCCCTGGGACCGGCCCTTCCCTCTCTGATCTTCTCTGTGGCTGCACAGAGCACACAGAAGGAGACACTGGCATTGCACACGGGAAGAAGATTGACAACTAAATGATCTTTCCTCCCACGGACAGCAATGCTGTGGGATCACTCAGGGCTCCAGAAGGGAGCAGGGCGAGGTTTCCAGAATCCATCAGCCTTCAGACTCTCAAGGGAAATGGAACGTGAGTGAGCTCTTGCCACATTGACACTGATTATTCTGTGTGGAAAGGGACATTGAGAGCTTGCCTCCAGCATCTGGCAAGGTCTTCAAACCACCATCTACCAGCACTTCCAGATGCTCCATGTCACGATCCCAATCTGGAAGGGAACACAGATCAGAACCATTCCATGGTGTGCTGGGATCCCCTTCTGCCTTAGGGAACTGGGCACTGCAAAGGGGTCAGGTAAGGCCATGGGAGCCAGATGTCAATGGACACGGCCAAAGCTGCAGAGGGGCCTGGGGAAAGCTCTGGGCTGGCTCTGGACATTCTCAACACCTTTTCCATGCTCTGTGCAAAATCCCTGAAAGGCAGGCACTGCCAAGTAGCAGAGATGTACAGCTCACGCCTCAGCAGGGCTCAGGCCCAGAGGCCCAGCAATTACCTCCTGGGATTGTGCCTGGCATGGCCTCCCTTCCTGCAGCAGAGGCTGTCCATGAGCCACTGCTTCCTCCAGGAAATGGCACCTACAGCACAGCCTTTGGGTTCATCTCTGGAGGAAGGAAGAGCCACAGCTGGATCAGATAGAACCACTCCACACTGAGGAGGTGGCATGTTCAACTGCAATATTTGTCAAAGTCATGAATAAGGATAAGGAGAAAGGCCAGGTTATTGAGGCTGGCCAGGGCCCTCCCTCCTCCAAACAGCCCCTACACCTGATCTAGCCCAAGACCGGGAAATTGCAAGGGATCTCAGGGTGTGCATGGCCCATGGTGCAGTTTGGGAATCCTGTCAGCTGATGCCAGATGCCTTTCTGCAGAGGCTGGGGAGAAGCTGCAGCCAGGCCAGGCTGGGAAACAGCCCTACAGGCTGTGAAAGCAGCAGTGGGGCAGTGAGTCTGAAATGGATCCCTTCCTGCTGTGCCGGGCACGGTGTGTCCAGATGTGCAGAGAAAGCCCCCGGCTGCTGAGTCTCAGGAGAAGGCTGAGGGACATGGACCCACCATGGCGTCTCTCCAGATCACTCAGCATCTTGTCTCCTGTAGGTTTGTTCCTCCCTCTAGGAGAACCTTAACAGAAAGTATTTCCATTTCCCAGGAATGGATCCCACAGAACCAGTGCTCAGCCTGAGGGCTCAGCAGGGACACACCACTCACCCCTGTGATGGGAGCTGGGGTTGCGTGCAGCAACCAGAAAAGGAGCTTGAAACGTCCTCGCTGCAGACACACCTGTAACTCAACAGCCACAGAAGCTTCTGTCACCTGGTTCATGACAGGCTGTCAATGATTATTCCTTGTTGGGACAGTGAGAACATACCTGCACGGGGCTCCAGAGGCAGAAAATCTTCATGGAGCCAAGCTGCTGGAGAAGCCTTCCTACCCATCTTGTCTGGAAGGGAGCACAGATCAGAATCATTCCATGGTGTGCTGGGATCCCCTTCTGCCTTAGGGAACTGGGCACTGCAAGGGGGTCAGGTAAGGCTGTGGGTGTCAGATGTCAATGGACATGTCCAAAGTTGTAGAGGGGCCTGGGGAGCTCTGGGCTGGCTCTGGTCACTCTCCACCCACTTTGCAGGCCCCATGCAACATCTCTGGAGGGGCAGCAGGACCAGCCCAGAGCCCCTGAGGCCTCTCTCCCTCCCACAGAGGAAACCCTCCCTAAAGCCCTGGGGAAAACCGTCCCCAGTGCTTCCCAGGGAGAAGAGAGGACTGTCCCGGGAAATGGAAGCCAGGCCGCGGGCTCACCTGCTCGTCCTGCTCGCCATGGAGCAGCCTGGGCGGCCCTCTCAGGCAGGGCCACTGCCAGGAGGAGCAGGAGGAGGAGGCACAGAGCAAAGGCCATGGTGCCTTGCCCACTGCCAGTCCTGCAGCTCTTGCTGCCACCACTGTCCTGACACCGCTGTCCCAATGTCAGCACCGCTGCTGCCACCGCCACTGCTGCCGCAATAGTCGTGGTCAAGGACTGACTGCTCGGTCCTCGTGGTGCTGTGCAACCACGGGGCTCTGGGACCTCTGTGACCTCAGAGCCTGCTGTCACCTCAGCCTGCTGTCACCCCAGAGCCTTCTGTGACCTCATGGCCTTGGCTGTACCCTCCAGGTATGCTCCCATCTGTACTAATGGACTGATTGTAAATCTTTGACTTCATCAAAGGGTCACTGCTAAACAAAACCTTGGTTTTGCCTGCTGACATGCTGGTCAGGCAGTGTCACAGGAGATGCTCTTGATGGTTGCCTCTTTTCCTGGGCAGGGGAACCTGTTGAGAGAGGAGATGGCTGAGGTCCCAGCTGCAGCTGGCACACAGGCTGAGGTCCCAGCTGCAGCTGGCACACAGGCACCCTCCTGCCCACTGGGAGATTCTCACTGTGCTCAAAGTTTCCCTCTGAAGACTAAGAGGTGAATGTGGATGGGCTTAGCAACTGGTCTGCAGGCCAAACAATTGAGGTAGCAAAAGAAGAAATTGAGAAAATACAAGTTTATCCATAGCAAGGAAGAAATCAAGGCCATTAGCATGGAAACCAATAAAAAGGGATATAAGGTGTATTTGCAGTTGTAAGAAATGGAATTGGTTCGTGCTAACTAAATTGTAACTGTTATTAAAGTTCTTATTAAAAACAATCAAGAATCAGTGTTACAAAGCAGATGTACCCCTTTGCAGATGTTACATGTCCAAATTAAGGTACAGGATGTAGTTTAGAAGATAAATGGTGTCTCAAGACCAAAATGGCCTTGAGATGGACCAAAATTAGAACAAATTTAGGCATTGGGCGTAAGGATTAGTAAATATAAAGCTAATTAATAGACTAACATAACACAACGCTTAGTACACACACACAAACCTGTAAGGTTATCCAAAGGACAATGAGGAAGAGGAGAAGCCTTTGGCAAAAGACCACCAAAAGAAGACTGAACACCTCCTAACAACAAGTGAGGAATGTGCTGTGAAGAAAAGTGACGTAAAGTCAGAAAAATTGGAAATAGGAGGAAACTTACAGGAAACATTAATGAATATGTATAAGCATACAGTATATAAGTTTAGCTTGAAGTGCTTTGTTTTGAACGTGAGGCAGGGTGGGAAGCCTCCGTACCCTGGTCGGTTTTGCTTATGCTTTAATCATACTTAATTACTAGCAGATTATATATATAAATTTTAATTTTTTATTAAACTGTATTATTTTACTAAACTGTAATCTTTCATACCACATTACTATTCAGTTTAGTAAATTGTATTCATTTTTAATTAAACTGCCATTAACCCAAGGGACCTAGTTGTCAAAATTCTAATTTCATTTATAAGAATATTTTAACAAAGAAGGCTGTTACAACAACATTGGTATTTAAAGAAACATGACACAACATGAGGTATATTAACAAAGAAGGCACCTTACGGTGACAACATTCTACTGTTCAAACTGTAAAACATCTTTGTGTACTGATCAGGAGGTCACGATTTGCTCTTTACAATCCTGATGCTGAATGTCTCCTGAGGAGGTCTGGTCACAGAGAAGAATGAGCCCCTTGTGGGCTGCCCCTGTTTGGACAACCTGCTCCTCACCCCGAGCCTCAGCATGTCTGACATCGCCCACCTGGGACTGAGATCCCAAAGCATTGAGAACATTTACCAACTTTCCTTTATAATTAAAATCTAATTAATTACTAAAAAAAAAAAATTTATTTTTTATAATAATATTATTCTGTATTTTTATAACCTAATTTTTATATTTATATGAAAGAATTGATACATTTTTAGCAACTAAAAACATTATCGGTCCTTGGTTCAAAGTAACACAATTCCCTTCATTAATAATTGGTCACTATTTCTCCCTCTTTATGCTAATTACACCTATTTTTAGTCCTTTCATCATCTTTTTTAATAATTTTCTCAGACAGGGTAAAAGGGACCACTTTGGGGTCCATGGAGATTTTTCTGAGGAACATTTGGGGCAGTTTTAGGTCTGGGGAGGGAATTTAGAGACAACCTGGGGGTCTGGAGGACACTTGGGGGAGCCGGGTGGGCACTTGGAGGGGCACTTAGGGATTCTGTGAGACAATTCGGGGTCCGGGGGAGCACCTGGGCGTCCAGGGGGGCACTTGGAGGTCAGGGAGGGGAATCTGGGGGCCCTTCGGGGTCCGGGCGGGCACTTGGGGGGCTGTAACGGGACTCCATGGGCGCGGGGGATGATGGGGGTTGTAGGCGCCGGTATAATACGGTTTGACGGGGCCGCGGAGCATCACGGGAGTTGTGAGCGTTGCTCCAATGGGTTCCGGTGAGGCGCGGGGCATGACGGGAGATGCAGTCCCGGCTGGAATAGCGCTCTATGGGCGCCGCGGAGCATGATGGGAGATGCAGTCCCGGAAGTGGCTCGGAAGACGTGTTCGGCTTTGTGGGGAACCGCTTGGAGAACACTTTTGCGTCCGAGCTGTGGCTGCAGGTCCTCGGGGCGAATGTATACGGCTCGGGAGCACTTGGGGGGAGCCTGGGGAGCTCTAACCGGGCTCTTTAGGGCGCGGGGTACGGCAGGAGGTTTGGGCGCGGAACTGTGTTGTGGGATGATGGGAGATGAATTCCCAGCAGTGGCTGGAAGGGGCATCTGTGGGATCGGGAGCATTCAGGGATCCAGGGACGCTTTGGGGGGTCCCGAACGGGCGCTGAGGGGTCACTCGGGGATCCTGAAGGGTCTGGGGGACACATGGGACCTAAGGGGGGGTGATACCGGGTTTCTGGGGAGCGCAGGGCATATTCCCAGTTCCTTCCATCATGATCCCATTTGCTCCAACCACTCCCAGTCAGCCTCAGTGTAGCTGGACTCCCTGCCAGTATGATCGTGTTCACTTCCAGCATGATTCCAGTTCATCCCAGTATAAGTCCTGTTGCTTCCAGTTACCCCCAGCATGACCCCAGTTGCTCACAGGTGCTCCCAGTCAGCCTCAGCATGATCTCAGTAACTCCCAGTATATCCCATTTCCCATGAACCTGGTCTCAATTGTCCCCTGCAGTTTCATACTCACTGCCAGTATGTTCCCAGTATGATCCCAGTTTCCCTCAGTGTGATCACAGTCTCTCCTGACATGGGCCCATCTGCTCACAGCTGCTCCCAGTATAATATCAGTACACAGCCAGTGCAATCTCAGCCACTGCCAGGATGATCCCAGTACAAACCAGTCCCTGCCAGTGCTGCCACTCCTGGGATCCCCCAGCCCTCTCTGTGTTCCCCCCTCCCACATCTCCCCAGAGGAGCCCCGAGGACTGGCAGTCCCCAGCCAGGGTCCCCAGCCAGCCCCAGGTTGGATCTGCAGCCCCCAATTTTCCCAGTTTCCCTCTTCTTCTCCCTGGGCCGGGTTCCCCCCACCCCCAGTGGGTGGGAGCAGCGGAGAGCCCCGCGCTGCCCATCCCGACCTGTCCCGGCTCCATCCCCGCTCCTGCCGTGGGCTGTGAGGGGTTTGGGAACGGGGCACCGAGGGTGTCACTGCTCCTGGGGGAGGAGGAGGAGGGATGGAAAAGGAGGGATGAAGAAGGAGAGTGAGAGGGGATGGAAGTAGGAGAAGAAGCTAGCGTTAGGGAGGAGAAGGAGGAGGGATGGAAGGGGAGGAGAGGGAGGAAAATGTTGGAAATACTCCACAAACCCCTTCATTCTTGTCCCCCTTGGGGATGTGTCCGCCCTTCAAAGAACAGTGGGGGGAAAGGGGTCTCAAAATATATCCAACATGGACCTAAGGTCCATTTTAGACAAAGAAGGCTCAGACTTCTGAGACGTGGTCCTGGGTTCATTGTATGTGGATCACCCGGGGCAAGAAAGAGGCTGAGATTCCTCAGGTGCTGTCTCTTAAACTTGGGGGAGGGAGTGGCCAGGGGATACAGGGAGGCTACAGCCAATGGGATAGGGAAAAGCAAAGGGAGGTTAGGTAGGGACTAACCTTATACAACACCAAGGGTGAGTTCTTCCCTTGGGACATACCATAGTTTTTTAAATTAACTTCAACAGGAAGAGGAGGGACAAAGGAGGATCAGGGAAAGGAGAAGGAACCAAGAGGTCAAGAACTCCCTAAATTTACAGTCCCCCACCTGTGGAATCATCACCCCCCATCCCACAGGTGCCCCGAGAGGGGGAGCTCAGCACAGATATCCTGGGGGATCCATGGTTTGGGTTTTTTGGGACGGGATATTTGCAACTTAAGGACTGCAAAGCTGAGTGGAAAATGCCCCTTGGGGGACACTGGGGAGTTCCCAGCATCCCTAAGTGGGGAGATGGGAACAGGGAACTTCTCAGATTCCTGGCACTCCCAGCAGCCTGGGCAGGGCAGGGACCAAGCAAACGGGAGACCTTCAGTACAAGCGTGACCCCCAGCAGCTGGGACAGGGGACCTCTGAACACCAAAGGGGAGAGACCAGAGATGGGGAACTCCTGGGAGGCATTTTCAGGGCTGAATCTTGGTGTTTGGGAGGTTTTTATGGAAGGCTTGTGATTTCTAGAGATGGACGTGGGCAGGAGGAACCCCCTAACCCAATGTGCTCATGAATTGTATTTCTCCCCAAACCAGAATTTCCCATTCTCAGACCTTGGTCAGATGGAGAAGGAGGCTGCGAGGAAGAGGAAGATGCCCCAGGACACCCAGGCAGGTGAGGAGGAAGTCAGTGCCCCTTTCCCCCTCTCTCCTGCTCCATCTCCCAGCCCAGCATGGCCTCCGGCTGCAGGACAACCCCGCTGCCGACGCCGTCCTGCCGGGGACACACTGGAGGGATCTCCTTCCCCTTCCCTCTGGCACAGAGGCAAATCCCATCCTCTCCTTGTCCTTCCTCCCCCAGACAAGGAGCTGAGGATGGAGACCAGGGAGGACAAATCCCTACAGCAGAACCTGGTGGAAGAGGCCGTTTTGAGCAGCTCCACGGTGCAGGAATCCAATGGGGAGGAAAAGCCCCGACGACCCCGCAGGAGAAAGGGCTCCAAACCCATCCCAGGGTGCTCTGAGGAGGAAAGACCCACCCTGTGCCAGGAAGGCGGCCGGAGATCCAGCCAGGGCTCTGAGCTGGTGGTCCATGATCAGCTTCAGGATGGGGAGAAGCGCTACAAGTGCTTGGAGTGTGGGAAGAGCTTCAGCCGGAGCAACAGCCTGATCCGCCACCAGATGATCCACACTAGGGAATGGCCCTATCAGTGTGGGGAATGTGGGAAGGGCTTCAGCTTCAACTCTGACCTCGTCATCCACCAGCGCATCCACACTGGGGAGAGGCCCTACGAGTGTCCTGAGTGTGGGAAGAGGTTTCGGACCAGCCCCCATCTCCTTAGACACCAGCGGATTCACACAGATGAGAGGCCCTTTCACTGCCCCGACTGTGGGGAGGGCTTCAAGCAAAGCTCCCACCTCATCAGGCACCAGCGCATCCACACTGGGGAGAGGCCCTACGAGTGTGGGGAATGTGGGAAGAGCTTCAGCCAGAGCTTTAGCCTGATCTGCCACCAGAGGACACACACCGGAGTTCAGCCCTATCAGTGTGGGGAATGTGGGATGACCTTCAGCCAGAGGTCCCAACTGACCATCCACCAGATGATCCACACTGGGGAGAGGCCCTACGAGTGTCCCCAGTGTGGGAAGAGGTTTCAGACCAGCTCCACTCTCCTCGTGCACCAGCGGATTCACACGGATGAGAGGCCCTTCCGCTGCCCCAACTGCAGGAAGGGCTTCAAGCAAAACTCCCACCTCGTCACCCATCAGTGCATCCACACTGGGGAGAGGCCCTACGAGTGTCCCCAGTGTGGGAAGAGCTTCTCAGACAGGTCTAACTTGGCCAGACACCAATGGAGGCACCGGTAAGGGAGGCCCTGCGAGTGCCCCAAGTGGAGGAAGAGCTTCGTGTGCTGCCCCAGCTCCATCCCCAATCAGAGGACCCACGTTGGGCCGAGCTCTGATGACCCACGTTCCCAGTGATCTGTGTTGGGAACACACTGGGTTGCTGGTCATTCTGGTTTGGTTCTATCTTTTGATTCATCTGCATTCCTGTAAAACAGACAAAATCGGGGCAAAATCTATGAATTCATCAAAGGCAACTAAAGCCTCACTTTTCACTAGTGCTTTAAGGGAATCTGGGATTCAAGGAGATACTTGGGAGTATTTGGGGATTTTGGGGGTATTTGGTGGAGTTGTCTCCACTTCTTGGCACTCAAAGAGATGAGAGGGTTCTATCTGTCACCTCAAAACCACTCAATGCCACTGAAAACTACTCAGTCCCACCCAAAATTACTGGATTCCACAGCCCCTCAGGGTGTGATATCTTAAGTTTTAGCTTTCATATTTTTCATATTCTGCACTGCCTAGGTTTGTAGTTTTGAACTTCCTATTAAGTGTTAGTGAGCTCTCTTCACAGAGTAGGTAGACAAAACAATTCCTTTTCTAGCTTGATATCAAGGACAATTGTTACAAGTTCCAGGCCCAAAAGCATAAACAAGGGTGGACTGAAGAGAGAAAACAGGAAGGATGGGACTTGATCATCTGAAGCTGTAACTGGACAATGAACTCCAATATCCAGATGAACCTGAACTTCTAAAAATGTGAGACCTCATGATCAGTTGTCCATTTTTGTGACCATTTTTGGTCCATCTTGGATGTAGCCCTGGCCAGGTTCTTGTGCTGCTCTAGATGTATCATTTAAGGCCTTTTAATAAACTTTATTCTTAACTCTGGCCTCTGTTCTAGGTCAGCCTTCTGAAGGCATCAGGTGGAATGGGGTTGGAAGGGGATTGGGTGAAGTGGGATGCAGATCAGGAGGGGTGAGATGAGGATTGGGAGGTGTGAAATTGGGGAAATCGGGATTGGGAAGTGGGTCTTGATGTCCAGCAGGGATGGGATGGGTTGGGATTGGGACTGGGGAGGTGGGGTGGGATCTGGAATGAGACAGCCAAAGTTTGGGGATGATGAATGGAGCAGGAGGCCATTACTGAGTGAGTTTTTGTGTGAGGTGCCCCTGCCCAGGGAGGCAAGGATTGAGTTTCAAATGAACACTGTTAAAGTGAGTGGCATGGGCAAGAGGGAATTCCATCCCTCTGCCTCAGAGGTTGGGCCCTGCAAGCCCAGGAAGAAACTCCACCCTGGACCCTTTGTAGGGTGGCAGCCCAGGGATTTCTGATTTGGTTTGGGCCCCTGGGGTTTCTCCCTTGCTGTGTTCCCAGTGGTCCCTGACCTTGAACTCCACCCTGGTTCTCAAACCCCATTTCCCTGCCTCTGTTTGGGGCTGTCTCTGGATCTGAGTTTGTTCCTGAGCTGAATAAATGGTTTCCTGAGCAGAATCCCATCTCGTTGGTGTCCCATGTTTGTTCCTGAGCTGAATAAATGGTTTCCTGAGCAGAATCCCATCTCGTTGGTGTCCCATGCCTGTTCCTGGTAAATGTGGTCTCTCTGGACATGATCCTGCAGCCCTGGAATGCAAGACCCTGCAAACTCAAGACCCGCCTGTTAAGTCCAATCTTAAGGCAGGAATCAGACAGCACACCAATGTGATGTGGAACTGAGACCTTTATTTCTTGCTCTTGCATTACTTATATAGTTTTTGCCAAGCATCTAAAAATAGAATACAAGCTTATAGCTCTAGTTTATAACACTGTTTTCGTTCTTCTCTAAACACGTTACTATCCTTATCTTAAAGCAAATTACTAGATGCTTGCAGACCTTTGTGATCTTTCTTTTTGCTCAACGAGCAGGAATACTTATCACCTTGTTTTCTTTGGCAGTCTACTGTTGGGGTCAGCATGCTCTGTAAAGAGGCTGTAAGCTAAGCACACCTGCAAAAGCCTCAACACCCGCCCTTGACCCCCTAAAAATCCCAAAATTCCCTGAAATTCACCCAAATCTCCCCAAATTCCCTTAACTTCCCTAAACTGGCCTTTTTGTTCCCTCTGCTGCCTCTGCAGATGGTGTCTTGGGGACACCCCCAGGAATTTGCAGGGGGTCTCTCCTCCCCTGCCACCCCCAAAAACCCACTGCTTCTGGGAAAAAAATTCCCCAAAATCCCTTTGATTCAAGGGGGAGTTCCCCATTTTTTATGCATTTTTTGGGGGTTCCCCCCAAATTTTTCATTTTTTTTTTACCTTTTTTTGCCAGTTTTTTTTTTTGTTTTGGCATTTTTCAAAATGAAATCTTTTGGGGGGGGGTCCCCCAATTTTTTTGGGGGGGTCCCTCAATTTTTTCCTGGGAATTTGACCCCTCCCTCGATATATCCTTTGCCCCCCTCCCCCCAAATTGGGTTGTGGGGATTTTTTTTTTTTTATTTTTTTTTTTCTGTTTTTCTTTATTTTACCTTTTCTCCCCTTTTTTTTTCTTTTTTCCTCTTTTAATTTATTTGCACTTAATTTGGGGGGCTCAGGGGCAGGAATTTTGGGGAATGGTTGTCTGGGGGGGCTAGAAAATTTGGGGAGACGCCCATCCCCCCAAAAAACAGGAAAAATCACAGGAATTCTGGTGTTTTCCCCCCATCCCAAGGTGTGAAAATATGAAATAAAAAAATACGTTCTCAACTTTTCCGATGATTTTTGGGGAGGGAGTTGCAATTTTGGGGGGAGGTTTGGGGAGGAGTTGCTGTTTTTTTTGCAGAGGAGTCTCCCAGGTTTTGGGGTGGAATTTTGGAATTTGGGGGAATTTGGAAGTTTTGGGGGAAATTTGGGGTGTTGGGGAGAAACTTTGAGGGTCCTGGGGGAATTTCGAAGTTTTAGGGCAGACATTTTAGGATTTTTTTTGTAACATTTGGGTGTAGGTGGAGGAAATTTGGGGTTTTAGGGAGATCTTTGTTTCTTAGGGGGAGGATTTGGGGTTTTGGGAAAGAAATTAGGGTTTGGGGGGGAAATCTGGTGGTTTTGGGGGAAATTTGGGGGGGGAGAATTTTGGGGGTTTTGATGAATTCTGGGGTTTTGAGGGGAAATTTGGGGTTGGGAGGAAATTTGGAGTTTTGGGGTGGGATTTTGAGTCTTGGGTGGATTTGGGACTTTGGGGGGAGTATGGGGGTTTTGGGGTTTTTGGGGTGATTTGTGAGGAATTTTGGTATTTTTGGGGAGGAATTTGGTGGTTTTGGGGGGAAATTCAGGGGTCCTGGGGGGTTTCTGATTTTGGGAAGGGGATTTTGGGAGAATTTTTTGGGTTTTGGGGGAATTTCCATTGATGGGGAGGGGTCTTGATCCCATTGAGAAGGGGCATTTTGGGGAGGCCTGAATCTGGGGGGGGTCTCAGGGAGGATTCCCCATTTTGGGGCAGGGTTTGGGTTGGATTTAGGAGGATTTTCCAGTGATGGGGAGGCATCTTGGGGGTGGGATTTGGGGAGGGGTCTCATCAGAGCCCAATC